CGGGAACGGGATCGGGAACTGCACGGCGAACCGGCACCGGCAATGGGAACCGGCACCGGGACCTGTCACTAGAAACGGGACCGGCACTGGAAACCGGCGCTCCCCACTGCTGGGAACTGGGGTCACTACTGGGAATGGGGACTGACACCACCCGGTAGTGGGAAATGGGAAGGGCGCCAGCTGGCGCTGATCCAGGAGYTGGGRACCAGTCTGGTGAACTGGGAACCCTGCTGGGAGCTGGGATCCAGGTCCAACATTGCCCAGAAAATGRGCCCATCAGTGGGAACGGGGATGGCACCATTCTGGACAGGGAACAGGAATGGGGAACAGGGGCTACCCTTATAGCAGCACACCCAGCTGGGAACGGGAGCTGAGACCAGCACCTGCATACCTGGGCACTGGCACTTGGACCAGCATTGCCCTGGCACCAGGTGACAGGATAAGGTCCCACTGGCACTGACCGGGACCTTGCACTGGGACAGGGAGCTGGACAAACTGGAGCCCCATGCACCACAACCGGCTGTGCCACCAAGACACCAGGCAGCTGGGGGGAATTGGGACATAACCCATGGAGGGTGCAGGGGAGAGGCTGCAGGATTTGGGTGCAAAGGGGACATCCCCCAGTAAAGAGGAGTGTGGGGCACTGTTGCCTTGATGGGCCAGTTTCAATAATGACACAGACACGGTTAAGGGGATAAAGGGTTTTACCTGTATCTGCGATTCCAGGTGCACAACTCGCCAGAAAATGCACAMCYGTGTATAGCACAGATACWATTTTATAGATTTCAGAAATTAGCATATCTGTCTCGGATTCCCCAATGAGAAACTTAACAAATGAAGTAATATCCCCCTATTCTAATGAATCCCCCAGGGAATGAGGCCAGAGCCCARTTTACACAAGATGTTCMAGASAGAAGGCTTCAYCCAAGGMTGGAGCCTCRGGTTTAAGATAGCACAGGGCACACTGACCCTTTCCTCAGGATGTTTGGTCTCTCTGCCCAGCAAAACCCTAAACTAAGCTGGAATATCAGGCTWCAGGAATCATAAGCATGCAGGCTAAGGGGTACAAATGATACATAAAGGGTACAGAAATGTCTAAAAGGCTATTTAAATTATATAAAAGGGTCTACAAAAAGGAAAGGCAAAAAAATCTCAGGCATCAGCACGATCACAGAAGTTGAGGAGATGTGTTTTCCAGCCCAAGACCAAAGTCAATCCCCTTTTCTGTTAGAAGGAAGCTGGGGCACTGGGAAGGGGGGGGAGGGGTTTCAAAAGCTGGACATGCCCTTGGCCCACCTGCGTGTCCATGGAGGTCGATGTGCAGCAGGCGTTGTGGGGCTGGCAAAGGGACCGAGGTGTCCAGACTGGTGGAAAGCTTTCCCAGCTCACAATAGACATTTAAGAGGGGAAAACCACACATGACCCACACAAAAGTGCCTCCCCTTCGGCAGGAAGGAGCCAGTGAGGTTTTACAGACCCTCTGTCAGGGGCAGCTCTGATCCGGTGCGCTGACTCGACACACAAGCTTTGTTGGTACTGCTCATGATTTATCATAAATTGAGCCAAAAATAGATGGCAAGGGAAAAACAATTAAAGAAAACATTTAGAAATTACAAGAATAAACTTCTCACATTTAAAATCATGGGTGGTCAGAATGTTTTAAACAACAAAAAAGCAGGGCTAAGGGTTAGCTTCTGCCTGCCAGTGACAGAGAAGATGCTTAAGGACATCAGCTTGCCACATTAGCGGTAATGTAGTGAAATTTTGGTGATAAAATTAGAAAGGAGGCTGTGCCCAGAGCAGCATTGTTCTGGCACAGGCTCCTGTTCTCACTGAGGTGTCACCTGCAGCCGTACGTGGTCACCACAAGTCACGTGTGTGATTCACCTCCTCAGGACCAGCCATTTCCTCCAGTTCCTCATTATCTGAAACCCTCCTGGAGTTTTCATACTAAAGTATTTTCCTGTCAGTTTTGTAATTTCATTACTTTTTCAATTAATACAATATTTGTGTCACAATTATTTTAATTCATTTATTAGTTAAATGAATAGGAAAGCCAAAAATCTGTACTTCCACGAAAGCTTTGTTTGGCTGCCAAAGCTGTTTTCTAAGATTTTCCATCTCTTTGCTTGTTTTGTCCTCTACCCCACGGATCTTGGCTGCTCAAAACCAGGTGTTTCATACACTTTTCTTCTGTCCCCCCATACAAATCCCCTAAGAAAACAACCTTACCCCTTCTCTATTTAATTCTCAAGCCTGTCCATATGCCATGCTGAACCATCACCCCTCCACAGTGGGAAACTCCAAGAGCCAAAGGCAAAGACCAAAATAAAAGACAAACCCAAAGTTTCTGGAGATTTGTAAGGGGGAAGAGTAGACCCTAAACAGGTCTCTAACAGCAAAATTCTCTTAATAGCCTTAAAACCAGCTGCTAGGCAGACTAGGGCAGGGATGGATGGTGCTGCTGCTGCCCCCTGGGAGGGCAAGGAGAGCATAGATCCTCTTTTGATTTGTGATGYGTTGAAACTGAGAGACATTCCATCAGTGAAAATTAATATGATTATCCATCCTTCCTCTCACCACTACAGATACTTCCCAGTTAGCCCCCGTGGGTTTGCTTTGATAAATGGTGATTTCCTACTGAGCTGTTTCACCAGTTTGACCCCAAAGCTGCAAAGTGGGGAGGATGTCACTGCTGGGGACATGGAGACAGAGGGGCACAGGGTGGAGTTTGTCATCCACAGGGGTGGTGGGTGATGCTGTACAGAGATGGTGAAAGGATTAAAAAGAGGAAAAATGAAAAACAAGAGAAAATGGACTCACCCTTCAGACAAAGCAGCAGCAAGAGCCTGGCTTTTATTTTGTTAGCAGGCTGCAAAGCATTAGGGAAAAGCTGGAAAACATTAGGGAAAAGYTCTTCTACTGCATTAAGGCAGCAAGGGAGTCCCCAGACGTTCCCCTTGCCCCACAGGGACAGGGAGCCCCAGCCTGCACTCGTGGCAGGCCCAGATCTTCCTGATTACCTTAGTTGCATTTTCGATTTCAGCCTCMGCAGGGTAAGGAAWATTATGTAAATATGATTAAAAACGRCACTTTGGTCTCCTCAGTGTGATGCAAATGAGGCCACAGTGACAGGGCTGATATGAAGGCTGTGCAGGGGGAAGGAAGAAATAACAATGCTTTAAAACCAGACCCTGAAGATAAGTAGGAATAAGGTTAGAGGTGAARTGGAGGAGGAAAGCTGCAGCCGGTGATTCCTCCAACAAACARAATGTTATTATTCATTCTGGGATTTCAAAGTGGATGCCTTAGTGAGGTTTTCCTTCCTCCCAAGAATATTTGTTGTTCCTACTCATGCAGGGGACCCCTGAGGTGAGGTTTGATCCCAGAATGGTTCAAAGTCTGTGTCTGCTTGCCCAAAGCAGTGGGAGTTGAAGAACTGGTCACTTCTGCCACCCCTGCTCCTACAGGGCCAGCTTTCTCCTCCCAAGAGCATGTTTGGGGGAGAAAAATGTGGCAATAACTGCAACTGGGTGATTGGTGCCCATACCCTTCACTTTCATGCCGTGGAAATAAGGGAGCAACCTCCAGCAGCCCCATCCCCAGGGCAGGAGCTGCCTGGTGAGAGTTCTAGGCACTGGTGATCCCATCAYGTTGCAATCTTCTGCTTCTCCTTGAAGACATCACAAAATGAGCCTCGGGTCGTACATCTACACTTCAATTAAACCTCATTGTTCTGAATTCTGCAAAGTTTTTTGCCCCTGAGTTGCAGGCTCTGGAATACCAGTAATGTATTCTCTCCTTTCCCTCTCCACATGATTGCAGCATAATCTCCTACTCACTTGATTTATTTAAGCAGGCCTTCAGATGCTCCAGTAATGGGAGTCATTTAGGTCCCTCTGCAGATATGTATTTATTTATTGCTGTTCATTTAAACTGCAGAGCCAGTTGGCAGGAGAGACGCAAGACTGGGGTCACAAGGATGTTAAATTATTCGCTGTCAAAAATAGCTGGTTGAGAAAGTTAAATTAAGCAAGGTCATTGAAGGTCATGGTCAATCACCAGTGGGAGGAGATGGGCATTAATTAGCTCTTTTATTTATGGGGGTCATGGTGACCAAAGGACCAGCAGTTGTGACAAAAAMGCAAACTGTAGCAGCTCCTCTTGTTTTTTTGGCAGAAGCAGCTCTTGGATGAAAAGCCAAACTGCTGTCCTTGACCACGATGGAGAAGTTGAGGCTATTGAAAGGCAAAGTTGTGATGTTCAGCAAGTCCCTCTGGAGCCCCACAAAGCATGGACCAGGGAGCTCCCCCTTTCAATGTCTGTCTCAGGGCTGAGCTCAGCAATGCTCCTACCACAAAAATACCTTTGCCAGAGGCTGGGGAAGTGCTTAGTGGTGGGGAGGTCTTATTGGGCATCTGAGATACTTGGAGATCCTTTGGTCACTCATGCAGACCGGCCTTTACCTGAGATTTTGCCATCTTTCTTGGCAGATATTCCAAAGCTGCATATCCCTTGTGTTAATCCTTGTATTTCGTTTCCCATTTGAACATCATCAGTGTCTTCTTGGAACTGAGACCCTGTAATAGCCTTTTCCTCCCAGTTTCAGACTCCCTAGGGCCAGGCCTCTCCTCCCTTTGCATTCTCCTCTACCATGCACC